GCAACAACAACCAAGATTTAACCCCCAAAAAACAGCATAATCTTATATAAGAATTTACTTATAGAAAAAAAGCCAAGAAAATGAAACCTAATAAACATCCTACCTGGGCACTAGAGGGTTGAGGATTGTTGGCCATTCCGGCACATATGCAAAGTTTACCTCAAACAGCTGTAAAAAAATCAACAAGAATAATTACAAAAAAAGGAGATAGAAACTGCATCTACGAGTGTTCCCAATCTAATCAATTTAAATGGCTAAATTATCCATACCAAAGAATATCATGAAAAAAAAAATTACTCCAAATCAATAGTATAAAAATTATTGAAATAAAGAAGTTAAAATTGAATGATTTGTACTTACATATATCAGATGAAGAAGAAGAAGAAGAAGAAGAAGAAGAAGAAAAAGTTTCAATTGTGCGGGAGAACTTGGATCTCAGTATCGAAATTTCAGGTGCTAGGGTTTAACAGAGGAACAGGTGGAAACAGAGAAAATCTTTGAAAGGAGAAACGTTTTTTTTTTCCTTTTTGTTATTTTTTTTCTTTTTGTATCCTGTTTTGCCAGTTTTATCCTTGACGGGTACAGCTTATGTTGGATTGCCCGGGTCGGATCTGGAAGATACCCACCCACTGTTTCTTTCGGTTTAGCTCATTTGATCATTTTAATTTTGTGTTTTACGTTTTAATCAATAATATCATGATGTAATTAAAAAATTAAAAATCCGTAGCAAAACATAATTAATTAAAAATTAGTGAAAAGATTTACATACACAATAAAATAAGTATCATAAACTTACATACACAACAAAATATATATCACTCTTTTTTCAAGTAATTGGGAAATATAAATTGGATTAGAAATTCCAATTATTTGTAAACACAATTTTTTATAAATTATTTTTTTAAAATCATAACATAAGAATAAGAGAAAAAATCTTAGATATTAAAATTTGAACATAAATTTACTAAATATTACCTTCTAAAAATATCATATTAATTAATTGAATGAAATTTGAATTCAAATCTCACAATTTTGGATTAGGATATATATGGAGCATGGCTAGAAACCAAGGAAAAGAAAAGTTTTCATACATATACCTTTAATAGGGTTACTTACTTTCATCAATCAAAATATATATTGAGTGTATGTCTTGAAAGGCAGCCATGCTAGAAAATTAATCAAATATTATATTCTATAGATTGACAGAAAATTAATCAATTTGCTTCTTCTCAAAGCTTGGACAGCTAAATTTGTTAAGATTTTGTTTCATTTTGATCAACCTTGAATCTGATATTTTGTTCCAGCAATAGAATCCAAGTTCATATATCAGGTGGAAGTGGAAGTTGAATCTTCTGTAAGGCATAATTTTCAAGCATTTATACACTAAGGAAGAGACAAACAATGAAATTCCAATAAACAATATAGGATGTTGAACCTGTCAAAGTTCATTAACAGTTTTCATTGTTCTCACATCCCTCTACCTGATCTGCCTCTCTCGAGAGGAAGCTGAGAAACCCTAACTAACTTGTCATTCCTAACACTGCAGGATCGTTTACAAGAGAAATTGAACATACCCTTGTTCAAACCTGACCCGCCATCCTTTTTAGCCAACTCACCTTTGCTAGAGCTCTTGGTGCACGCCTTGTAAGCAGCCAAAAAGGGGTCATCAGATTTCTTAAGTCCTCTTCTTGAAGAAGTTGTGGAAGGAGGGTGAAAAGCACAAGGAGGAGGAGGAATTTTAATGTCATGGATCGATGTCCTGGCACTTTCAGGTGGACATGGAAGTGGCGGTAGCTTTTGCAGAAAGTGATCTTCTTCGGAGTCTTCTTGTTCTTGGCTTGTTAGCTTGCAAACCCCTGGCTTGTTTTCCCATGAGAAGGGCACTGTCCCTTGCGATTGAACCTTGCTCTGATTCATTTTTTTTCATAAATGCTATTGGTAAGGCTTTTTATAGCAAGGGTTTTTCTTGTAACGGGTTATTTATGAATGTATGATTACACGGCTTCCTTGCATCATCATAGTATATAAAAAGAGAAGAAAAGAAGGTGGTGATTTCCTTTTTAAACAGAACTTGCAAGGAAAAGCCAGGGGGGTTGCGGATAAAAGACCCAGTCTTAAGGGTCTACATCATAGAAAAGTAGAGAAGTTAAAAGAAAAAAAAGTAGGGAAGGGAAAGTGACAAATCTGAAAGAATGACTGTGCTCATGTAGAGTCATTTTGGCCACTGATTTATCGACATTCCTTGCCGCCTCATTGCGCAACTATGGCTCAGTCTCAAGGACTAAATTCAATGGTAAAATGTCTTCAACACTAATGTACTGCACATCTACTGGACTAACAACAGGCAGCCTAGCAGGACAACCAGAAGATTGAAATTTTGGTTTTTACAAGTGGGATTAACATAACTTTTGGCAGATTAAAACAAAACCAGGCGGCAATAAAATTGACAAAAATCTTGGATTGGCTTTAAAAATTGTAAACCAGTACAATTCAGACAAAAGTTCAACTGGAATTTTTTTTTTTGGTCAAAAAGTTCAACTGGAAATTTGATTATTATAAACCAATGGCCACATCATTATACAAATTGCATACATTGATCAATCATCTAACATGGGCCTTACATATTCATGCACACACACACATGACTAATTTATCTTTTCCTGATTGCATTTAACACCGCTTTGTCCAGTCAATTTTGCATCACCCGTCCTTTTCCTTCTGTTCTTCCTTTCCTTTCCCTTCGAGCACTGGGACGCTCTTACCACACTATCACTGTTAACAGTGCATGAGTACTTACATGAGCAAGTGAACATTTTCTTCTTAGTCCTAGTCCTGCAGGCATAGTTTTTGTCACCAGAATCCAAATTACCATTGATAGAGTACTCAGTACATTTCCTATAGGCTGCTACAAAAGGGTCTTCGTTCTTGTTGACATTATCCCTCTTTGCTGAACTTCTCGGAGGAGAATGAAGCTGGCATGGAGATGGAGGCAGAACACCCTGCAAATCATCGACACAAAATTTAGCACTGTTTGACAAGCGAGGAGGAGGGGGTAAATTTACTGTGACATGTCTGGTTTCAGTGCTGCCTTCTTCACTTGTCACCTTTGAGACCCCAGGTTTGAGTTCCCATGAAAAGGGTACATTCACTTTGGAGCAAACCTCGTTGTGATTCATTTTCTTTTGATGTTGGCGTTGGTCTGGATACTAAGTTACGTATACTAGTACTACATTAAAGGAGTCCTGATCCTGTGCTTTAAGCATAACTCAAAAATATAAAAAAGTTGACGAACAGTCATGTCATTTTGATGAATAATCACATTATTATTTTGTTTAAATAATTAGAATTTTTTTGTTGCATAATTATTATAAATAATTATTTTTTTATAAACACAACTATTTGTTTAAATAGTTATAAATTTTATGTTATTATCTATTATAAATAATTGTTTTTTTTCAAATATGATTATTTAGAATATAACTAAAATTAAGCCTTTTTATCCCAAGAGGGACGAAAAATTCCACATAATATTTTAAACTACCAACACTTGCAACCGCTGATGTTCCTTAGAAAGAGCATTAACTTTTAAACTAATTAAGCAGAGTAGACAAAAATATGTACGTTGCAGAAAAAGAAGCCTAGCGGCTTAAAGGTTCACAACAGGAAGAAACGTAGAAAAGCTGCTAATGAAGTTATAAGAGGACTTAGCTAACAAACTTGGAATGGCTTATTCAGGGGAGTTCATGGCAATTGGCACCCTCATGCACATATGTAATACATTCTTGGGAGCCTGGATTGACCGGTTCTGACCTGTATTGAGATAATTGACTCAAGGAAATCCTGGTCTGGAATTCCTGTTTGTACTTGAAAATTGCTGGGGCAACCAACATCCCTACGACAGCAACAGTCCCTCTTAACACTGCCAATTCTTGCTTATCCATTCTTGGTATACAGATTAATTTGTCTGTATATGGTAACTAGCAAAAAGATCTCAATTTAGATTTCAGGAACCCCATGAATTATTATATTATAAAATGGAAGTTGCTACATGCCTATCTGGTTTGCTTTGTTCCATAACTTGACAAAGGAGGGCCTTCTTAATAAAAAAAAAATGGTGGGTTTTGGCATTCATTTCCCTACCATTTTGACAACTGACAAAAACTAAATTTGGCAATCTTAGCACCCATCTCTCTCTGTCGTTTTGGCTTTCAAAATCGGCAATACATATGACATTTCGAGTGTTTTTTTCCTTAAAAATATTAAGCCTTGGTTTTCAATTTTCATGCCACATTCAATCACATTTATGGGTAGAATGTAAATATTATGTTGCAGAGGTTGTTTTTAATCTGGTAATTGCAGGAGAAAACTAGAAGTTTAATGGCAATGATTATTGGGTTTCACCTTCTGCAGAGCCCTGTTGGATACTTGGATAAGTAGTTCCAACTTGCAAGTGAAAAAGCCCATCTACATCCAGGCTGCTTCAAAGTTAGTTGGACTCTTAACAGTTTGAATTTCCATGAAAAGATACCCCTAGATATAAGGTCCTTTTTGCTAGGCAATTTGCCAGGGAGACACACTCAAGGCACCGGGCCAGGCTTGTAGTTCTAAATAGTGAAATATAGATTATGTTCTTATGGAAGAGATAGAATAAGACACTTTTAGTTGAGTTGTCTTCTGTCTTTCTGCTTGACCGAACAGGATTTGAGTATTCCTACCATTAGTTAAGCTAAAAAAGGTCCAGGTTCATTTGTTTATTGAAAGTGTAACCCCGTCTAAAGCGGTACAAACAACCTATCCATTGCAATAGTTACCTTCCAACCGCCATGCTCACCAACAAAACTATGTTGCCAACTCAAGTCATACCAAGTATGTTCATGTAAAGCTAAAAATCAAAATTTTAGTTTCCAACAATACTTCCATAATTTTAGACAAACTTCCTTTGCCTTGTTTCTTGTAATTAGTTTAGTCTCTAATTTTAGGAACAAACCATGGCTAAAAAGTACAAATTACAAAAATTGAAGGGAAACATAATAATTTAAGCTTTCATCACTAGTTGTTCCATGTTTGTCAGACAGATAAAATTCATGCTTCTATTTTTTTTTTCTTCTTCCATATCCTAGGGACTTGTCGGTAGGTAAGGTGGTTACACAGCAGGCAAAGAGGAAGAATGAACAAGGGTTGAACCCAGGAGGTCATCGCAAAGCCTAGTACCTTCACGAGTCTTGTTATTCTCTGCTCTTGGACTGCTTCCAGCACTGCTATTAGAAAGAGAACCGAAGGTAGTCTTTTGTAAGACCCCAGTAGGAGATGATCCTAACCGAGGACTGTGATCCCAGCCCTCTGTCATAAGGTCAAGTGCTGATGAGTTCTTGAAGTCTGCTGTGCTGCTGTTAGTACTGTGCAATACTTCACCAAGAGGACCACACATGGAAGTCTCCCAAGATATAGGAATCCAATTTGCTTGCCTGTGGTTTGGTTGATTAATAACACTGCCCACTCCCAATCCCATGTGTATGGGGTCAAATTCACGTGATAATCTGAGCGGCGACAGAGTTACTTTTTCATTGTTGGGAGAGGACGTGGAGGACATGAAATCTGAGGCAGCCATTGATATGGAAAGTTGAGTCCTGTCTGATTGAGCATCAACCTCAGGCCAGGAAATGGTTGACCGATCAGACTGGCATTTAGGCCAGTCATCCATGAACTGGCGAAGGGAATGCTGGGATTCAGTTTCTTGACCAGTAAGATCTTGAGAAGAACCAAAATTTCTGCAATTAATCAAGGAAGAGCTTTTGTGTGAAGGGTTAAGGAGTGAATCAGAGGAAACAACACCAAACTCATTTCTTGAGTTTTGTTCATAGGTGATCTGCTGCTTCAGTATCAAGAAAGGATTTTCTTTAGATTTCAGGTCATCAGTGGGGGATATCATGGAAAGCCCTGGTGCAGTAGCATGTATTTTTTCACCCACAGTGTCCTTGTTCATAAGCAACCTGTGCAAGAGAAACAATAATCAATAGAATTAGAATCCATCAATGACTAGCCAAAACATGAAAGTAAAATTATGTAACAGCTAACTTTTACTTAAACTTCTATAAACAATTTTAACAGGCAACAAACAATCTTTTAAAAGAAGGAATTTTTGCTCATAGTTACTAATAAGATCAACCAATGTCAGGAATGCAGAAGATAAGTAGATTCTACAATTATTATTCTTTATGAAAGATAAGAGTAACAAATGTGCAACGGCAGCACCATACCACATGAAGATAAGTGTTATCAGCTGCAGGTTACAAACAAGGAATAAATGCTGGGAGAATAATTCTATCACCTGTTTAGTGGAGCTGCCGTAGAGAGATTAGATGCACCACCAGGCTGCAAATTCTTGAACTGCTGCTGTGCAATTGCAAGGCTGTTGGACTCGCCGCTGCCACTGATTGGCCCTACCACTGATGCTGAAGAGGATGAGAACGTAGGCATCAGCTTGGTAGTAGTGGCGGTGGTGGCTGCAGCGGAACGGCCAGATTGGCCTTCCACAGGCTTTCTTGAACGATGGCGGCCCCTGTTCATGTGCCGCTCACAATACTTCTGGTCGGCAACCGCATCTCTTGAGCACCGCCATTTCTTTCCATCCGTTCTACGACACCTTCCAGGCTCTGGATCAGTGTTGTTTGAGAACCCAAGATGAAAGGGTCCCCATCCCACTGCTGAAACATCATTAAAACAAAAACAAAAAGAAAATGGAACACCCATGTCAATAAAACAGACCAAAAAAAAACCTACAACAAATTCCAAATTCCAACTTCAAAACAAAATGTACCAAAGTATTAAGTGGAAAATGCCAGCCAAAGCAAGCATGCCGATGTCTTTTTCTGATAGCTAATCTGTAATTGGTACAAATTTTTAACTTTCTACTTTATTATTTGATTTTTACCTTGATAGAAACACACTGCTTTATTTTAAAAGGTAAAGAGACGCTGCCTTGTCGCATATGGAGATCAAAACAAATGTGGAATGTGCTGTAGTTGAAATTTTAAGTGCCCTGACAGTGATACTTTCTGATCGAAACATATTATAAAACAAGTCAAGTAACACTGATCAAGAACTAGATAATTTAAGTTTTTGAATTCAGAATTAGTGCATTGTTATTAGTACTCAATATCAGTACTTTACTTCTTGGCCAATAAGATAAGAGGAAAATTAGAGCATTATCTCAGTATCAGTACTCAGCAGAAGAATAGAAAGTAATAAGCAGCACTACTTGTTGTCCCCTTTACCATTCCCAAATCTTTCTCAGAGAGGAAGAAAACCGTTTGCTGCAACTTTTGCATCAACCATGGAAATTATATGGACATTTTAAAGAGGAAAATTTTGCGTTTCTTGCTTCATTAAGAAGAGAAGGAACTTACATGTATTAGGTTTGAGAAGTCCACCAGGAAAGCTAGAGAAATTAGCAGAATCAAAGGCTTTTCTTATAGGAATGAGAAGATTAGATGGTATAGGCACATTTGCAGTTATGCATTTGTAGATCAAAGCCTGGCGTTCTAGCTCCATCCATTGAGATGGAGTGAATGGTCCTCCAGCTCCTGCTAACATCCCATGCATGTTTGCACCATTAAATCTTCCAGTGTTGTAGCCTGACACATAAAATCAAGAAACATAAATAAGGTTAAAGAAAAAATAACATATCAAGGCAGAAAACCCAAATTTTCAAGGCGTTCAAAGCAGCATAGTGAAAATAAAAAAAGCTTGTAGTTTTTACTCTGGAGTAAAAGGGGGAAAAGGGAGTAAAGAAAGAGGTCTGGCAGGTAACCCAGAAATCATAATTTGTCAGCAACGTTTGAGGAGGCTAAAAGAGCCATCGATTTGTTGTCTTTGATCCAACAAGAAAACAGAACACAAAAGGAAGATGGGGAAAAGGTAAAGATAATAAAAAAGAAACGTAAGGATAACACAAAAACAATCGAAGGATGGGCCTTTTGGTTCTCTCACTCCTAACTACTATACTTTCCTTCATGTACATATTTTCTTCTTTTGTTCCCCGGTCACCGTTTGGTTTATTACCAAAAATATTTCTCTCCTAAATCAGGAAGATGAGTTTTCAAGGGGAAGAAAAATAGAAAACCTCACTTTTTTATTGACAAGACTTAAAACAAAGACCACTTTTAGATTTCCATGAAAAGACCCTTCACCGGAACCATGGAATCAAATCAGAGAACCAATAACAAAACAAGTCTAATCTTTGCCACAACTCACAAGCATGCATTAACCAACATGCCACAGCCATTTTACTCCTTTCATTTCCTCAAATGATGTTGAATAGGTAACGATGTTAGAACCTTAACGTTGCTCTAATCTATATATACCTGTATTTCTAGTATAAGCTGGTAATGTGAGGTGAAAGGAGGGGAATGTGAGATTTTGGGAGCTCCTATCCACTGAAAGAGCTTCTGATTTGGGAGCAGAAAAGCTCAGCATTTGTTGCTGTTGTTGTCCGTCAGAGAAGATAGAGGTATTAGATCTCAACAAAGTATTTCTCTGTTGGAGCAGCGTTGCCTTGGAGGCCGAAAAATCATCAATTTTGGCCAGTTTTGAACTCATCCAGTCATCTTCATTATTGCCAGATCTCTCTTGCTTGAGGAAACCAGAACCGTACCATTTCTGCTTTGTCTCAGGATCTGAAGCAAGAGTAAAACCAGTAGTAGTAGTAGTAGTAATAGCAGTAGTCTCTGAACCCACAAACCCATCGAAACCCAGCACCCCAAAATCCATATAGACAGACACACCCCCGACCTACAAAAACGCTAGACTCAAGAGATGAAGCATTGGGTTATTACTAGTATTAAATACAGGAGCTTGAGAGGGTGTAAAGAGGTTCATTTTCAGTGTTTGTTTAGTAGGAATAGTAGTTTAAGCTTTGGCTCAGACTCTTAAACCAGACCAGTTTTCTTTTAAAGATTAAATAATTAGAGAGACACAGAGAGAAACAGAAGCAAGGAGAAAACTGACTGGACAAGCAAATCCTAAACACCACTCCCTCTCTATACATATCTCAGACATAAACACAAAGAATACTTCCATTTTTTAAAACTCAGAAGAAAACCTCAGGAATAGGAATAGAATAGGACCTCCCATTGTTTGAGCAACAATAACTTTTTCCACCATCAATATTTAAGCCTAGATAGATCATGGATCCCCTCTAACACATCAACTTAGCTTAATAATGATGTCGAGAGTTCTAGAATTACAAAAACCTCCTTGGAAAGTTAGATAATTTACTCCTGAGACAATGAAGTTCTTTGACAGATACAAGCAGGGTTTATCTGTAATTTACAATTCCTCCCATATGCAAACCTTGACACTTTCATTTCTACCAGTTCATGTTTGAGGCCTTCTTTCGAGTTTTGTGTAGTACTAAACAAACTGCCTTTTTCTTATGCAATTTGGGTCGTTGAAATAGAAGGGTATTGAAACTGTAAAAAGGAGAAAGCAGAGTACTTTTTTTTTTTTACCATAGCTTTAGTTTTAGTTGGCTAGTTGCCTTGCAAAGTCCGCTAGCGGTTTCCTTTCATTTAAGTTTGTTTTTTCTTTTTTTATTCTGTTTCTCTCTCATCTTAAGGTTAAAACGGCCAAGAAGTGGTGGGCTGCATGAAGTCTTGTACAAAGATACATTGCCACGTGACCGTCGCCACAAATAATTCCACCATCTTCTGCCGTCCTACTCTTCTAGTCTTCTTAATCTTTGTTCATACTTTCTGGATAAATTTATTAATTTAAAATAAATGATATAAGATATAAAATAATTTAAATTTTAATACAAATTATATATAAATTTAATAAAATTAATATTTTATATTTTATATTAATATAAACGATGATACGTAATTTTTAAATAAAATACAAAACAAGTAAAAAATCATCAAAATTTATATAATATGAGTTAGATCTGAACACCCCATTTAAATTTTTACAAAATTTTAAAAATAATCTGTTTCATGGAAATTTAAGGCATGGTTGAATTCAAACACAACTGAATATTTTCAAGGGTTTGCAACCAAAGAGGCAATGTTAGCTTCAATAAATAACCTGCTTTCTTTAGGTAAATTCAATAAATAACAGTCATTAAGACAGCCTCCTTGTGAGTTTTATTCAGAACAACTTTAAAGCTTATTTTGTTCAATAATTATTGATTGGGTGAAATTTATAAAGCACTTTGAACAAACAAGTTGCAGCTTAGTAGTAACTTTTATTAATTAAAGAGTCAAGCATCCTCAATTTTTGCAAGTCAGATTGGGTGTTCTTTCTCATTTATTGTTTCATTAAATTTTGTTCATCCTTCACCTCTTATGCAAAGAGGAGACAGACCAGTTCCAACTGATAATCATAAGTGGATGTAAATGTAAACAATAGACTTCGTTGCAATAATAACATCTTCAAAATTATGATGTCCGAAGATTTGTTGCCTTAGAAACCTTCAATCATCAATAATTTCCTCAATCTAAAATTTTCTATATGAATTTACGGGTTTCCTGGAATCAATAGAATACACACAAACAGGTCTGATGGAAAGGAACATAGGAAAACACACCGGAAAAAAGAGGAATCCAACGAATCCAAAATGTAAAAATTAAAACATTTGTACCCGAAAAATTTTGTTCACTTATAACCGTTTTGAAAAAGCCTATAGGATCACATTAATGTTTTGTTTCCAAACAATGGAAATTCAAACCTAATCTTCTTTTGTGGCATTATATCAGTTCTTATATGTAAATCGATGGAGACAAATGGTTGTTCTGAACTGATCAAATTATTGGCTGTTTTGTTGGCCTTTTTACATTTGTTTGCCACCTTGCAGTTGCTGCTAGATTCACTTTCCCAAATAAATGCTCTTGGTGTTCCTGCCAACTCTGAGTAAAATTTCATTTATCTAATGTTCTTGCTTTTGTTTGATCTTCAACCATACAAAACTCAATCAAGCAATTGACTTTTAGTTCATTGAAAGATCTCTGAAATTGGGATTAAATTGTTGAAACTGTTTATAAATTTTTTCAACATTAATATTTCAATTGATCAAGCTGAAACTAAGAGAATAAATAATATATTAATACTCATAAATTATTCGAATTTAATTAAATTAAAATTAAAATTTAATTTAATTATTATTTACTCAAATTCGAATTCGAATAAATCAATTGATCGATTGAATCAAATTTAAATATTTTTATATTCGATTTGAATAATTAATAAATTTAATCAAATTTTTATATTTTAAATATTATAATTAATAAAATCTGAAGGATATCACAATATTTGATTCAACTATCCAAATATGATATTTGTTTAATGAGCAACAAGATTTTAATTTATAAATATATTTATTTATATTTTTTGGCCAAAGTTTTATAAATTTTTTTGGTTAAGATAATAAACAAAGCATTAATCGTTCAAAATTCAAATGAAAAATTAGAAAGAAAGGGAAAATGAATGGTGAAGGGAGAGGAGACAATTAAAAAGGTTTGAGAAAAACAAAAAATGATGGGCTTGTAGGGGCGGCCATGCATGGTTTCGAAGCATCCTTATCAACGTTGAAACTAGAAATACAAGTTGAGGCAAAAACAATTATTGTTTTCTTTTTCACAAAGCTTTATATGCTGCGTCTCTCTGGCGATTTGTTGGAATTTGCCCACAATTTTGGTACATCCATGTTGGGTCCTCCCGCTTTAGACAATACAGCCAATGTTAAAAAGGTCCCAAAAGCTACTTTTTTTTTTTTTTTTCTTGTCTTTCATTTTTTTTTTTAATTTTCGCTTTTTTAGAGGATAATACCATAAATTTTAAATTATAGTAAATATTTTATTTTAAAATTTTTTTAATATAATAATTAAATTATAAATCTATTAATATGTAATGTAAAACTTAAAAAAGTATTTGTTTGCTTATATTATTTTTAAAATAATCATGTTAAAAATGTATATTATATTAATTAATATATTTATAATTTAAATATTATATTAAAAATATTTAAAAATTAAATATTACGGTAAATATTTATAATTTAAGAATATTACTGATATTAACTTTTTTATTAACTAATTATTTTATTAATTATTATTTTTTGTTTAGAGATAAGAATGCATTATAAACAAGTATTATTTCAACTAGAAATAATAATGGGGTAAGGCGCGTGACGATAAAACAGGAACAGGGAGAAAAAAAAAAAAAACAAAGAGAGTAGCTTGGAGAAGACAATTCGAGGATTGCAATAAAAGAGGGAAGAGAAAACAAACATAGAAAAGTTAAGGAAAAAAAAGGAAAAGCAAAGGCTGCCAGTTATCTCCTTCATATCATCTTGGATTCCTAACACTTTTTTAAATTTTTATTTAATTTTGAGTGAGAGAGGAGTGGGTCTAATGACGTTGACGTGTCATCAGAGGGAATAGTCTAGATAATGCCACGTGGGCCCCAAGATATGGGCATTGTTAGTTTTTTCTTTTATAACAGAATTTAAAGAATTTCTTTTTTATGCTTCTTTTTTTTCTGTGTTATATCAAGTCTATCCCATCGAAGGGTAAAACGTTGTGTGACGTTGGGGTTTGGGCGCGGTTCGCCTCCCCTTTCCCGACAGCCCCTACCCTTCCCCTTCACCCCTCACATCCCTTCCTCCTTTCTCTCTCCCTTTGTTTTTCTTTAATACTCATTTTTAGTATCATTTTTTTTTTTAAATTCGATTTTTTCTAACGGGTGCTTCGCCCCACTTGCTTTACAAATTTCGTACCAATTTGAGGGAAGGGGCCCATAAACACTTGAAGGTGAAGAAAGTCATGGGCTCTGCTCCAAATCTAAAAATTAAATTAAAATCAAATAATAAAAAACAATTATCTATAAAACTATCATTTTTATTTTATCGTAATATATATTAATATCATTAAAAATATTCACATAATTAATAAAAATATTTTATTTTTTATCCACATTAATCATATTCATATATCAGTTAAACTACCGCAATACCTTGCTTTCATATATAATTAATAAAATGATATTTAATCATATATAGTTAATAGAATGAAATTTAAGTATAAGATATAATTTATATTCAAGTATTTTATTTTTATCTTCTTATTAAAGCATTGATCTCAAATGTTATAATTAAACAAGAATATGATTTTAACGTACCATATGACTTATTTATAATAATACATTATATATAAATAAGTAAATTATTTAAATATATTATTTAATCTTATTTTATGTACTCAAGTATATTATTTTATGTGACATTATTTTCATTTTTTATTTTTTTTCAAAATTATAAAAAAATATCAAATAAAATATTTTTAATAAAATATACTTCTTCCATATCATTTTTTTCATTTTTTTAAGATACCCAAAATTATGTTTTTTTTTTACATCTAAAATTATTATTTTAAAATTTAACATTGAATCTATGAAAATCAAAATTTTTAAAACTTTATAACAAAATTATAACTCAAATAATTTAAGCCGAAAAGAGCATAATATATGAAATTTATAGTATCAAATAAAAAAATTTGTATCGTCCTTTCATGGGGGGCTAATGCATGCCACTCTGTCATTTGACATGATATATTGTCATTATTTTTCTGTGATTCCGTATATTTGTCATGAAAATATAATGTTGTGTCGCACAAGTCAACAACAAATTGCTCACTTTAGATTAGATATTATTGAAATGAAATTGACAAATTGTACCTTTCTTTTTCTTTCTTAATTTTTAATAATGGAATTTGCGAAAGTATTTGCTGTATATATGTTTGCGTGGGCTCAGGCACGGTCATCTCATTCAAATCCAAAAGGACATGATATTTTTTGAAGGAGGTTCACTTCAATGTTAGATCATCAAAAGAGTAATTACTATTCTTAGATTTACTATCTTCAAAATTTGAGTCATGCGTTTGTTATATGAGCCAACACAAACTTATGAAAAGTATTCTAAAAAAGATATAATTTATTTGAGAAAATGTTCTTATTGATATATTAATAAATGAAAGAAACTAAAGTATCTAAGATTTAGTCATTTAATTGGTGTAATCTTTTTAGTTTAATTACATGATTCTACAGATATATTTGGATCAATTTCAATAAATTTACAAATTTTTAGTTGATTTAGGATCCTTTTGAAACTTTTTACTAATTTAAAATTTAATTAAATTAATTCATCAATTTTTTAAAAAATTAAAAATATATATTTAATAAATTTAACACTATTATCTCTTTTTCAATCATTAACTATAATTTCTTTAAAAAATTAAAAAAAAATATTTTTTCACCTTACAACAAACATGTATCATTGGCTATTGCAAAGATTGGTCGGTGGTAGAGCTTAAAATATATACACGTGGTTTAAAAATTTTAATAATTTGTATATTTGTATTATATAAAATATTAATTATTTATATATTTATATTATTTTTTTATAAATATTATATAAAAATATTAAATATATATTTTAAATTTTATTAAAATTTAAAATTATATTATTTTTTATCAACTCATTGAATTTAGAGTGTACCCTAACTGTTGCCGCGCAGTCTCCAAATGCATTAAAAAGCAGAGAAAACTTACGCAGCCAACCTAGCTACTGCCTGGCTGCACGCCCCCTCCAGCTATCACACCACAGGGTTTGGAAATTTGGATCTTTTAATAGCGGTTAGGTTCTACAACAATAGGGACCAATGACCAACTAATAATAATGCTGACACAGATTTATTACTTATTATCAGCCAACAACACTAGGATGGACGACGACTAACCAAAAAACTAAGCCAAACCCTATCTTTGACTGCATCTCATCTTTTTCAAAACAAATACTTAAATACACTTTAAGGTAAGTTTAAGATAACAAAAAGAATTTAGGTAGTAGTTTTAAATAATAAGGGAAAAGGGGGGAAAGAGAAATTATGTCTATTCTACAAAGCCTAACCAAACATGTAATAATTCGAGGGAAAGAAACATATAATAGGTGACCCAGTTGAGGTCATGATCATTGTGCTCACATGACTGGCTTTGTACAGCTTCCCCACCTTTTCAAAATCTTTTTTATAGGTCAGACTGTAGACGGGAGAACTATAGGTATATAGCATGTATATAATATCTGATGCTGGGTTTTGCTGACTCAAAAGAAGATCAATTTGGTTCCCATTAGAAAACAAATTAGACTTTGTTTGGATTAGAACATGGTCGCCTTTATCTCTCTCTATCTCTCTCTATCTCTCTCTCTCTTAGTTTGAGGTAGACACTTTCTGTGAGTTTCCATGGCAGACGCCAGAGGGAGAAAGAGAGAATATAATTTGCATTGGGAAGTACATGGAGGAGGGGTTTGGGGGGAGGGGGGGAAGACCAATATTTTTTGCAAATATAAATGAATATAATATTCTTGTTTTCAATTGTATATAGGTCTGTGTAGGGTTTTTTTTTTTTTTTTTTTCTTGTTTTGACAGAACGGTGGGTCACAAATGTCTTGTATAGGGATGGGTTTATTGGGTTTCAAAGCAAATACATTTCTTTATTTTTTAATATATTTTAAAAATGAACAATAACACCTAGAGGTATCAAAATCCAAGAAAAAGCATGAAAAACAAGGCCTTAATTTAAGCTTTCTCTTTCTGGGGGTGTCTGTAAGTCCAAAGGAAGTGTGTAATCCCAAAGGCATGTTTTATCGCCTTTTGTTTTCTTGCTCAAAGTAAACTAGAATTAAAATCTTCAAGGGACCAAACCATGCCTGCATGTCCTTGCCTTGTTCTCTTCCAGGTGCATCAACTTGGGTTGGGTGTCTCTCTTTTTGTTTTAGAAAAACGAAAAACACCTCGAAGGGCCATCCTCTCATCTCATTGGTATTTGTTCTCACTTCCTTTCCCATCTATCTCTGTGTGCCCATGTATTTATGGAAAATAAAAGATTTGAACTACCATTTTGTTCTCTTCCTTCAAAGATGGTTCACTTGAATGAAAAATGGCTACCATATAAATAGCTGGTCCAGGCCAAGCCAAAGAAATTCCAACTTAAATGAAATCTGTAGCTAGTCGCATGCACTTGTTAATCTCCTCTCATTCTCTTTGTTAAATGTTATTATCTCACATCCATTAAGTATTGATTAGCTTTTATTAATCTATACATCTATATTCCACTTTGAACAATATCATGAGTAGAAAAAAAATGCGTAGCATTTGATTTCCATGTCTATTGCCACCATAGTTATAGTATAAAACTGCTTTGCATGTGCAGTCGAAACCATGTTGAGGTCATATTTGCTTTGACTCAGCTTTGTTTTTGTTCAATCAAGAATTGAAATGCTTTAAACAACAGCTTGTTTCCATTAATCCCTGGATATCATACTACAACTTGAGATACATCAAACTTCAACATTGATCATCCCTCTTTTAATAATAACTTCAATAACTAGTTTTTATTTTATCGTTTTTTATGAAAAAAATTTTACAAACTTCACATCTAAAATCTCTTCTGCAAACATGTACTTCGGCAGCAATATGGGTTAAACTCAAAATATACTACTAATTAATAAAATATGTGGATAAAACACTTTTAATTGCTTGGGGTTTGGGCTCCATTCATAGCGTCCATTAGAAATTGAAATACCCCAAAACCCAAGAAAAAGAAAAAAGAAACTGCGTTTACAGAGAAAGAGCATCGAGTATTTTATTTGTGCGACGGTTTTTTGGCGACGAGAAGATGACAAAGATTAAGTAAATGCAAGTGAGATTGGTAAACCCTAGAAAAGGATTTAATTCAATAACACCTAGAGATGCTTCTAACATCACCATCATCGTCATCTTTGAATAGTTTAAATTCCAAGGTTTATTAGGCAGCAGCTTGGAAAGTGGTGAAAACCCAAAATCAAGTTTGTTGAACATCGTTTAGATATGATTAACAAATGCTAATTTCGTGAATTAATACGTCAAACATCGAGAACGAGAGAACCTAAGGATTGAAAAAACAATTCTTAAAACTTTGGTTTACTACCACAAATTTTTCCATGAAGATATCAGTTAAAGATCATTGCAATATCAGTTGTTTTTTTCAAGACTTGTTCAAAATGTCACATGCAAAAGAATTGAAAGGAAAAAAAAAGATTGACTAAATAAATTATTAACATGGATTCATATAATTATATATTTAGAATTCACATTTCAATATATTTTTTAAAAAATAATAATTTAAGAGTGAAGCGCAATTATCGAATATTCGCACGCATAAAAAAGACTAGTTGATTATCTCTTTGCTTTTAGACATTGAGCTGCAACTCCGGCTTGCATGATGCATGTGAGAAATTCTCGGGATTGAATCCCTCTGCACAAGCTTTGCAACATTGTTTTTTTATTTTCCTTTCTCTTTCATCTTACTTAGATCCCATCTTGCTTACCGAGAAAATTATAGAAAAGAAATGCACTTAAACCTACTACGCTCGATGTATTTGCTAACATTATTGTAGTAGAAAAAATTATTGTATCAAATCAAAAGCAAAGTCCAATGTGTCCATCACTTGATTATTTCTTACCAAACAAGGTTTTAGAATTCGGTAAAAAATGATTATTAACACATGGCATTCCTTTGTGTGACTTCTATATTTTCTTAGAATAATAAAAATTGTCAATTCAAGGAAAATCAATGACAAATTTTTTATAATTTTTTTATACAAAATAATTAAAGATATTTTTTAAATTTATTTGAGTTTAATTAATTTTTCAGATAATTTTAAAAATACACATCAATTCGATACTTTCAAGATTTTACATTTTGTCATATAACTCGACCATCCCACAACCACAGGTTCTATAATTGCAAAATGAATATAAAATTTTCATAAACTATAATTGAGGAAAAAATAAAATCTTGGCTCATTATTATAAAATATAAAAATTAAACATAGTGAAAAAAGAAATTGCAAATTGCATGTTTCAAATCAAGCATACAAGTGACAGAAAGCATTTTGGCATCATGGCACATGGTAACCCATAAATTAAAATTTTCATCAATCTTTTTTCTTCCTTTTTTTTTTTTACATTTAATTTAATTAGATTAATAAACTTTGGGATTACTAGTTTCATCAAAGAATTATGCGTTCCACATGAAAGGAAAAAAATCATGATTAGAAATTTCAATTATGAAAAATTTATTCTCAATCAAAATCAAATAGAGTCCTTCGATCCTTGTTTGTAAAAAATAAAAATAAAAGATAAAAAAATATAAATATAAATCAAACAAAACTTAAATTTTTTAGCATAACAGCTCAATCACCCAGCAGTTCTCCTTTGGGCCAAAATTTACCTATTGCTTTTATTAATTAAAGCCCATTAAGTTGGGCCCATAAGTTAGCCATTCTGTAATAGGCCCAAATAGATGGACCACGATCAAAACAAATGCTATTAAAAATTTTCACCAGAAAAAAAAAATTGGAGGTTAGGATATTGTAAAGAAAATATCAACCCTTTTCATTTCATTAAATAATTAAAATTTTTGGGGGTGGAAATTGCAAAGAGAAGAATTGTGAGCGGAAGAAGAAAAAAACCCACAAAAGAAAAGGGAAGAGAACATGTTTCTGGTAACCTCTCCAAGTGGAGCTTTGTCCGTTAGAAAATTTACACTCAAATTCACAGCTCCAATTCAATCCGTCTATTCCAATTCTGCTACCCATCGAAGACCCAAATTCATTACTTCAAGGAATTGTCGGAAACCACTTCATCTCACTCTCGCCAAGGCTGAGGGAGGCCTAGACTCTGCCTCTGCTCCTAGACAATCTTCCCCTACGCCGCCTCCGTTCAACAATGACGACACCGTTTTTGTTGGTCAAGAAGATGTCCCTTTGGAAGGCGTTATCCAGTTTGAAAAACCCAGCTCCTCTTCTCGTCTTATCAAATGGGGGTAATTTTTTTTTAATGTTTTTTACCTCTCTCTTCTTCTTGTAATTGTTTCAATTGTTATGTAACAGTCGAGTGGCTTTGCTTGCTGGTGGGGATGTGTTAGCTTTGGTTTTATTTTCTGCAATTGGAAGATACAATCATGGCCTCCATATCTTTGCAATGGATACTCTACGTACAGCTGACCCTTTCATGGCTGGTACTTTTTTCTTTTTTACTTTTTTACCCTGTAATTTGAGAAAAGAAAAAAGTTAAGATTTCTTTATTTAACTTTGGTAAAAGTTGAAATGTGGATTGATAGGATGGTTTTTGAGTGCATACTTCGTTGGTGGCTATGGTGAGGATGGGCGAGGAGCCAACGGTCTATCCAAAGCCATTATTGCTGCTGCCAAATCTTGGGGTTTGGGAATTCCAGTAAGTTTCCATTTTCTTCTTTTCTGAATTTCAATTATTCACATTATAACTTCATAACAATTAGCATAATTTTTTGGGTTTATTTTCAAGTTCAAGTAGGGAGAAGGATTCAAACTTGGGACCTCTACTAAGAGGCAAGGTGTTGTTTCATGATTTCTTCAATGATTCTTTTTGTTAAGAGGTCAATGTTGTGCATTTGCTCGTCTCATAATACTGCTTAGAAGCCTTAGAATTAATATGTTATCCTGTTGTTTTTGAGTTGCTGCCCCATTGATCCTCGTATAATATTTTATTTTAAACAGGCTTGCTTATTGTTGTCCCTCATCAAACTATCCCTAATGAAGCTTTAGTTCGTTGTTCCCGTTCGAAGTCAACTTAAGTTATTTATTTCATTATAGACGTGTTATGGTTTACTAGTAACTTTTAAGTTACATTCCCCCCCCCCCCACCTTTCCTTTTTTCTTTTGTAGTTGCATTCTACATACCTAGCTGACACCATATCTGTTTAAATCATATACCTTTCATTTTTTCTCATTTGGTAGTTGGGATTGATTATACGAGCTGCAACATCAGGCCATATTCCGCCATATACCTTTGTCTTAGTAACAATGGGAAGCACTTCTGTTTTGCTTATTGGGTGGAGAGCGCTATTGATAAGCATTTTACCTGATGAAACAAAAAAGAAGAATGAAGTATACCGACGCGGCAGCCCGTTTGAACTGTTTGAGGTATTGGAACTTTTTGTGATTCACCATGTTCATGAAATAGTTTTAAGCTTTGCATCTTATGTACGCAAGTTCATTGTCACACATTTTGTTGTCTACTTTGATTCCGCAATTGAGAAATTATCTTAGAATTAGCAATGATCTTCTATATAATGGAATATGCTTCATTCTAGAGCTTCTGACGTGTTGCATATCTATGAATTGAAACCCTCGAAAAGTACTTCCACATTGTTTGGCTCAATACAGGTTTGGGAAAATTTTGAGCCAAGGCAAGTTTTTTTTTTTCTGAAAGAGGAAGAACTTAAAAATCAAAGCCAAACTGAAAAATGACACCTTTTTGCACTTGCTCTTTAATTACAATTTGAAAGATGAAATGTTTTCGAATCCCTTTGTCTAAATTTCAAGGATAAATGCTCTACTATGGTCTTAAGTGCAACATTTGACAAATGAAAGTTACCACATCTGCCTTGGTTGAATTGGGATTGCACTTCTGCTCATTCAATGAAAAACACATTGTTAATAGAGATTTGATTACTTTTTGTTGCAGTTGCTTACATCATTGGTGCGGAGATGGTAATACACAACATCTGCCATGAGGTTGATCCCTCAAGACATAAATTTTCACAATTTTGATGTATACTTGTACTAATCTGTTATACTTGTAACAGGTAAGAGCACTTATTATTTTTTGATTTCCAAACTCCGAGGTTGTTGCATGGTGATACACCACTGTGAATATTATGTTTATGTGGTAATTAGCATTAAAAATGTAATGATCCTTTTTCTAGAGGGTGTACTAACTCTTTCTGGAACTGCTACCATGAACCTAAATTCTTATTTGTGAATTGATGAGAGAGAGAGAGAGAGAGAGAGCCACGGGTGAATACAAACAACTAGCCTCTTTATGCATAATTTTTGAACCTCTAAGAGTAAAAGCTTAGGGTCATTGGTTTAGTTGTTTTGTTGTGCAATGCAGCTACGGTGTTAACCTATGAGGTGATATGACGTTTTTCACCCTTCTGCTTTTCCATTTACTTCTCTGACAGAAGCTTGTGATTGGCCTGAGTTGCATATTGTGATTGCCTTCTGGGCCCAATCACAGAGAAGGCAATCACAGGAACTGAAGTTGATTTCATTTACTTTCATAACGAATTTCAATCGAATTAGATTTACTGTAAATTCCTCTTTATCGTAAAATTGGTTTCTTGAGTATTTTTCACTGTCCGCGACGCTGATGCTGGTAGAGTTGTCCTGGAATTTTTTATTGTTATACTAGAATGCAATGATACAGTAGGATATGCAATGAAATTTTGCTTAATGCCCAACACTGTTGCCTGTCTTGCCACGTGCATGAAGAGGGTGAGGGGGGGGGGGAAGTCTTGTTGCTGAATAACCTCACCATTGATATATATTTTTTTCGATGTTTTATTGTTTCAAGTAAACAGTGGGTATTTAGCGAAATTACTCCCCTCTCTCAGTCGTTTCTTAATGCCATTATGGTTGAAAAGCTGAAGGCCCAAATGATGATTTAAGGGTTTCACGTACCATATGAATTGGGACATTGATTTCTGGAGGTAGATGTTGCTTAATGCCACTTAATGGACAAGAGAGTTAGATCTCGATGATGGTTTTTGTTGTGCAACAATCACTAATCAAGGGGATTTTAAACAAGCGAAACTTTTAACTTGGCTTTTCTTTAACATTCGAAGTCATAGCGATTGGAATGGGGTGGAGTTGGTGAGCTCATCGGCGGCTGGCAATTGAAGGAGTCGGTGAGTAGATGTGTGAATTTCTTTGGTAGGAGCCCCTATTGGCCGTCACAACAGACTACAGAGTTATCTGCTCCACGAGGCGTCCCATCAGCCTCTCACCAAAGCCACTGGTTTTTCAGATTTTTTCTGTTCTACTCTTTCTCTCTAGGCAACAGATGGCCCAGGCACCCTTGGGTCTTCCATTTGACAATCATTCAGTTGTTGATGTATCATTTGGTTATCACTCACCAAATCACATCATCTTTCGGTGTCAATGCATGACTAATGACTCTATGACCCTGCATTTGCCATGCCGTTTGCCATCCACCACTACAAATATATTATACCATAGAGCCAATAACACAACCATTTCAAAAAAAAATTTTAATGAAGAAAAATCTTTTGACATCTTGAAAATTAAGAAAAATAAACTTTATCTTCAAAATAAACCTCCCAAAGTAAGTGTTTTCTTAATTTTCCTCTATTTTGTTAACTATATAAAAGACGTATCTCTCTTTTGACCTATCATTTTTATGTAATATACAGTATTAAATAAATAATCTAGGATAAATTTTGTTAGGTGTTGCCAAAGGAAAAAAAAAGGTACCAAATCTAAAGGCAACATTCATCAACAAATAAATTGAACAAGGTAGAAAAAAACAGTGGTACACTGTTAGCTATGGACAAAAGACTGAGTTCTTAGCTTTAATTGCCTAGTAACTATTATCTCGTGAAGGAATTTTTTAATAGGAAAGGACGAGCATGGATGATTTCCCTTTCTTCACATTCCTTGCAAGTTAAAAACATGATTGCTCTTAAAAACCAACAGTACTAAAAAAGGAAATATGTTTCTGCCATTAACAAGCAAAGAGTACAGCAAAATGGATATCATTTTAAAAACATGGAAGGCACATGTAGGTATGGGCGGAGGGGGTGACTTGGGGCAGAAATTACTGCTGAAAAGGAAGCCCCATAAACCCATCCACCTCTCTTCATTTTTTTCTTCTTTGAATTCTTCCAACCACTAGTCTCTATAACTATAACTATAACCATTCACTCTTTTGGGAATTAATAGAGTACAGAGGGATGTCTTAGGATGTGCCTTGTTTAATTGATTTGCTTCTGGATTTAAAATGATCAGTTTCTTTTGTTGCTTAGGTTAGCTAGGTTGACAAAAGATGAAGCTACCAGTCTGTTCTAGTGCATCAAAACCAAGCTCTCTGAACTTGCTATCTCTTAATCGGAAAAAGAAGAAATCCCCTCTTGAGGAAACAAAGAGAGAGAGAACCTAAGCTGATTTTGACATGACACATGGGTTTAGATTTTGATAAGTCATCACTGGTTAAAAGAGGGCAACGTAGTGCCAAATAGGAAAAAGGTAGGGATGGTAGGGGTTCAAAACGACTTTAGCGGTAAGGCATGCAAGGGTTAAGGCATCAGTGAGAGGTTGAGGAGTAATAAAGCATTAAGGATATATGTGAGAGTGAGGGAGAGAAAGGGTGGATATTTAACAGCTAAATAAACAGTGAGTTACGGAGTCATAGGTGGCGTTGTCCTTGTGGATTGGGGTATCCTCTCCCCTAGTTATCTCATGATCCACTTTCTTATCCTCTGTCCACCCCCAGCCATTGGCTCTTATTGTGAATCTTTCTTTCGATTTTGCAAGGATTTTGCGTTCTCACGTGGTTCTCATAACTCCTTCCATTCCATCCTTCCCTCTCAATTCTTGCTCGACATCAGGGTTTAGCAGAAGTTCAAAAATCAAACCATGCATATATATACCTTAGGATATGCTGTATATTTCAAGGAAACCAGGAGTAAATAAAAGAAATCTCAAATGATCCAATGTTGGGATTTCGGTTTGACATAAAATGGGTTTGCCAAAGAAAACATTTTGGCCTAAATGGATTTACCAAGCACGCTGGAAGCAGCCTGTATCCCATATATATATATATATATATATATATAATATAGATTTGCCTTTTTCCACAAACAGGGCAGGCTGCTTGGCTTGGCTTGTCATGTCTTGTCTCGTGTTCCAGACTGATATTCTGTACGTATTATCTCTATTCTTTAGGAACTAAACTTAGGAAAAATCATATTTAACCATATCAATGTTCTAAATGGTTGATTGTTGAATAGAAAAATATTTGGCGGTAGATTTTGCTAATAGCTGTTTCTGCAGAGAAAGCACTTTAATTCTTTTTGACAATTATCTGATTGAGTCTGGAATGATCTTCATCAGATTAAACTACATGATTTGGTCATGGTTACCAAATGCTTAGTACTACTATTTTAATTGTTTGTGTATAATTATTTTTTACTCTTCATACTCTAAAACGCATTTTATGGTTCCTCGGTTTAAAATTCTCCATGTCACAAAGTCACAGCAGCAATGTCATGAACCGTGCATTTTTTATGTTGAAATTATGTGACCGTACAATATCAAATCTACTCGTAACCGAGATTAACCTCTCACAAATCTATTTTCTCATGGACCATAAAGATATCGGAAATGAGAACTCTTTTCTCCCCACGCCCATCCAAGCTCAACTCCAGCAAACTTAAAACACCATGATCTTCCTCTTGATCCCAATGAAACTAAAATATCCATCGCGGTACCACCAACCTTCGAAGGTGCTCGCACAAAAGGCTTCACTGGAGAGCACTCAACCAAGCTAATAGCTTCCAAGGTACCCACACAATGGCCTGCTCCAAGGCCCACGCTTGCCCGCAAACTTGCTCAGGGATCATCATCCCATAGACAAGGTCTCGTCGTTGCTCCGCATTAAGAGTCATGACAAGACCAAGACGCACTAATTCACTAAAGCCAGACCATGACAAGCAACCTGGGGATGGACTCTAATGTCCTTGAGCTCATTAGGAATTGACTGACTGACTCACATTGAGGAGAAAAGTTTTTTTCTAATGCAAATGCTTTCCAGTGTTTTTTGTCTTTTTTTTAAAAACGGTGATCTCTGTTCCCTTTATTTTTGCCTATTTTGCTTTCTCTCTTACGCTTGTAAGGTCCACATCTCTGACTAAAATATAAGCCTACATATTCAACAATCGGACAGTAATGGTCAAAAATTTATCCCTCCAGATAGGATCGAGCAAATCCCTCCAAATCTGTTCAAACTCAAAGTTATTCAAATTTTAAGAAAGTTTAATTAAAAAATTAAAATCAGTTAAAGAATTTGAATATAACTTTTAGATTTATTTAAATATCAGATTAAATCTTAAACAAAAATTTTAAAATATAATCCTAGCTCAATTCGATCAAAATTCATATATATATAAATTTTTTATTTTTATATATATATATGTGAATTATATATAAATTAATTTATATATATAAATTAAAAATAAAATTTATATATTTTAAAATATATAATTTATATTTTTAATTTTTAAGTTATATATATATGTAAATATAATCCCATTAAATTTAATTCAATAATATTTTATTTTATTATATAAATTAAATTTAATAGATGAATTTTGATTTTTTTTTTAATTTGAATTAAATTTGAAAATATTTAAAAATTTGAAATTTCAATTCTCACCAAATACGAAACAAATATATCAACTATTAATATCATATACAAATTCCGCCCAAACCTGACCCGACCAGCCCCCTCATTGTTTGCTTTTAGTTACTCCTTTTCTTCTCCATCCTCCCTTCAAATTGTATTAATGAAAGTATCTCAACATTGATCACTTAAATTAAGCCTTTGACAATGGAAGATTTAACATGTGTTTATACTGTGGAATAATGGAATTGATAAGTAAATGGGGTCACCAAGAATAAAAATGTTGAGGTGCCTGAATCCGCTTTATCGTCAAATCCTTGATTCTATACTTGTGTTATTTCTTTCATTCCTCTTTATCATTTGATAAAGGGTAATAATTAAGTTTTGGAAGTGTTAGGATGATTATAGATTGTTATGAATAGCTTTTGGCTTTTGACATTTCTCATAATAATGACTAATTCTTGAACAAGGTAATTTGCCTTCATGGGAGGCTTATGATTCATGAAACAGTTTTAAATTGATCTTCAGTTAGCAGCCTGGGATTAATAGTTAGCAGGCAACTCTTTGGCTTGCCAAATGCACTAATTCTTGGTTTTTTTATTATGAAAAAAAAAGAAAGCTCAGTGCTTTATTTTATTTTATTTTTATCTCTGCTCTGTGATTGATGGATTCACTCATCATTACTCTATAATCAAAAGAATCCCTTCCCACCTCTGTGCAGAGACACACTCTTCATAGTACTACTTCCACTTTCCCTCCCAAACTCAGTCTTCCTTCGAGGGGTTCAAACCAAATCATTTACATTTGAAAATCTGTCTCCATAATTACCTTCATGCACATCTCCATGCAAGCTTCGCTACATTTAAAAAACAACCGTAGCAAATGCCAAAACCCAGATAAAAGTAAATGAAACAAACAAATTGTTCCTTTGCTTTCCTTTTGTTAGCTCCCTGTCACTACAAGAAAGACAAAAGGAAAGAGTAAAAGCAACAATTGACCACCAAAAAGGAGAGTAAGAATTAATGAAAAGAAAAATAGGAGTAACCCATTAATCAAAATAGATAACAATATCAGTATCCACAAAAAAAAAGAAGCACAGCAACTGTCTGTAATTATGTTACCTATCTTCCGAAGTCATAAGGCACCACAAAAACACTAAAGTCATGGATAGTACTGTTTAATTTTGGGTAGAAATGATAACTACAACATTATTTGGAACTTTAAGATGCTCTCAAATTAAATTTATTGTTCAATAGCTTTTGCAAATCAGGTAGTGGTGTCAATGAAGAAATAACATTTTCTTTCCAGGAAAACATTGGCAGAACAAGGGGAAAAGAGCCGAAAAAATAAACTAGTATCTTCACACAGAAACGTATGTTCCAGTTTGTGTACACTCTTCAGATAAACATTTTTTAGATGGTGGAAAAAAGAAGGATTACAGTTAGATAAGCATTACTGACCCACTTCCCACTTATTGTCTGGAAGCAGGTGTTGACTACAAATTACCAACAATTTTCTACAAGAAAAGCAAATGGAGTTTCCAATCTTTTTCTACAAATCAAAGATATATTTTAAGTTTTATCCCTGATCAGTAATAAGGGGTACTAGAAAACGCGCCTTTAAGACCAGTTCATAACATATGCACGCGCTTACGGCGGACCAACTTTGTACATCCTATCTGTTGTAAATTTTAGTCTTTCAGGTGTGCTGAGCATATTTCAATCCTTCCTATGTGTCTATGTACCACTAGCAAAAGGCCGTTGTCAAGAGGATGCTACAGGTTTTTTTTTATTATCATTTTGGTGGCTGAAACCCGCTGTTAAAAGTTGCTTGCTGCAAAAACTTGCACACCCAACCCCCCCCCCCCCCCCAAAAAAAAAAAAGAAAGCAGTGACGGTAGGAAATATATATAGCACATCATTTACTTCATCTCTTTTCTCTTTTTTTTTTATTTCATTATTGTTTTCATAGGATTTCTTTATTTGCTTTGCATACAAAGCAATTTTCCTGAGAAGAAAAAAAAAATGGAATTCTAATAACCCTCTAGCCAGCGCTTCCTTTTAAAATAAAGAAAAACTTGGTTTCGCTGTCACCCTAGCATTACAGTTGAGGATCACAGCCAAGTTTTATCAGGGTCAGATGAATAAAGCACAAGTTCAGCAGAGGTCACATCAGATGACCCACTCAATTCACCTTTCTTTATCAAAATCTACGATGGGTGATTGGCTGTGACTATTTTTTATCGTCACAGTCACAAAAAAATACTACTATATATTTTGAGGATTCTTCTTAAATATTACTACTACAAATCCTATTAGCTTTTGTGTGTTTTGTCCGATTGCAAGCATTGGTTTTTTTAATGATAGCTTTGAACGAAATTGGAGCAGTTTTTAAGTTACCAGGGCAAACGAAAAACATTAGATTTAAAATTGGATCCTCCATGAGTTTGCAGAGTGGCACAGAAGGCTGTACTGTGTGAAGTGACTGAATGGCAGTGTTCTGCCCGTCAAATCTAAGGCCCTGTGCTGTGACTGTAAATTTAACGCAAACCAGTTTTGGCCATCTGACCACCCCGTCTCCCTATTGGCTATTTCACTACCCACTAGATTTAAATGACTAGTTTTGCTGCCAATATTGGAGCGTGAAAAAGAGTGTGTGTGGAAAAAAGTTGGTAATTATTTTCTGGGTTTTTGTTTTTCTTCTTCTGTCCAGAAGTAGGGGAGTTTTATATGGGCGCATTTGAGATACTAAAACGAGGCTTTGTGAGTGTTTATGCAAAAGGTTTTTGGTGTTATATTTGTATCTGGGATTTTTGTAGGGTTTAAGAGAGAGCGTTAAGGAAAAAAAATAAAAGGTGAAGAGGAAGAAAAGCAAAAGGAACATGGTCTTTCTAATATATAACACAGATCCCTATGGAATGAAGGGGCACCCCCAGCATTGCTTGCTTGAATTCGTTCTTTTCGTTTAGTTTAAAGAGACCAGTTTTGTTCTCTTTATAGCGAGAGAGACACTGAGAGAGAAAAAGAGAGAGAGAGAGAGTGTGTGTGTGTGTGTGGGTGCATAGATCAAACAGTCCCGGGCCATTGAAAATGTTCTTGCAATGAGTTCTGCTAAACAACAAAAGACCATGTTTTCAGATGGGAGGTGGTCGTGAGATTTCGGTATCATTAGTTTATTTTCTCTTCAATGATTGAGTTGCCTTGCAGCTGGGTATATAACTGCTGAGGAATTTCTTAGTAAGAGAAGCAGGAGAGAGAAGAAGATGAAGTCTATGAACGACAATAGCAATGGCATCAACAATAACTGGCTGGGTTTCTCTCTTTCAACCCACCTGAAAATGGAGGTAGCTACTGGTCCCCAACACCGTCGTCATCAGTACCATCATCATAGTCAAGATTCAGCGGCAGTTGCTGCTGCCGCTACTTCTGTATCTAATGCTATTCCTACGAGCTTCTACTTGTCTTCTCACCTCAATGGTTCTGGAATTTGCTATGGAGTTGGAGAAAGTGGAGGCTTTCACGCTCCCTTGCCTGTTATGCCACTTAAGTCAGATGGGTCTCTAGGCATCGTGGAATCCCTCAGTCGATCACAATCAGAAGGTTTGCTTCAGCTTTTTGCATGTCTCCCTATTTATCCCATTTGGGATTATCTTATTCGCATTTTTGGTTGTTATAAAACTTCTATTATTCAATGCTTTTTTTTTAAGGAATTGTACCTACTTCGTCTCCCAAACTGGAGGACTTTCTGGGTGGTGCAACTATGGAAACTCATCAATATGAAAGCCATGAAAGGGAAACAATGGCTCTGAGCTTAGACAGCATGTACTACCACCAAAATGCAGACCAGGAAACCAATAGGCAACATTCTCTGGACCATCTTCAAGAACCTTTTAGGCAACAAGGCCAAGAGTTTCCTGTTCATACTCACCCCTACTATTCAGGACTGGCCTGCCAAGGCATGTATCAGTCGCCATTGGAGGACGAAACCAAGGATCCCCAACTTGCAGTCTGTGATTCCCAGATTCCTCAAATTGGGCAGGATGCAATGCCTTGCTTTAAAAACTGGGTAGCTAGGCACTACTCTACCCATAGTTCACTGGAACAGCAGATGACTAGTAGCATGGTTGATGATGGAGCAGCTTCTGGGTCTGTTGTTGCAATGGGTTGTGGGGATTTACAGTCTCTCAGTTTGTCAATGAGCCCTGGTTCTCAGTCCAGTTGCGTTACAGCTCCAAGGCAGATCTCATCTACTGCCACTGAATGTGTGGCCATGGAAACAAAGAAGAGGGGGCCCGGAAAAGTGGGAAAGAATCAACCTGTTCATAGGAAGTCCATTGACACATTTGGACAGAGAACATCCCAGTATAGAGGTGTTACCAGGTCAGTTCACACAGTTCCTTAAGCCACTACATTTCATTCTTGGGTCTTGTTGAAATAGTTTCCTAACTGTTTTCATTACTACTGCTTAATTATTCTTTTTTCTTTCCATTATGCTGCTACCATTAATCGTGCTTCTTTTCCTGTATTATTCTGTTCTGAAATGTCTTGTTTTCCTTTCTCAAAATATTCAAATAACATTTGTCAAATTGCCTCCACCAGACATAGATGGACGGGTAGATATGAAGCTCATCTCTGGGATAACAGTTGCAAGAAGGAAGGGCAAAGCAGGAAAGGGAGGCAAGGTTTGTCAAAAGCAAAAACAAAACACATTTACAGTATCAATTTGGAAGTATTCCTTCTTTTGACTGCAATTGTTGGTCCATCTGTCTTAATGGTCTGACTTGTGTTATTAATTCCTTCTTGTCATCTTCGTGCTCCTCGTGGATGCCTTTTCAATCAACTCATGCATTTTCAGTTTATCTTGGTAAGTATTTTCTTAACCAATAGTTAATCAAGCATTGTATTAATTAATCTTGATTTTATCTTTAATAATCAAGCTCACAAATGAATTTCAGGGGGTTATGACATGGAAGAGAAAGCTGCTAGAGCTTATGATCTCGCGGCTCTTAAGTATTGGGGGCCTTCGACGCATATAAATTTTCCTGTAAGTCAAACTTTTGGCAACTTATATTTGATCATTTCAGTTGCACAAAATGAAAAAAATTTGATAACAGAAAGAAACCATATGATTGCTTTTTCCTTTTCTTTTTTTTTTGGCTCTTGCTTTCTGCAGCTTGAAAATTACCGAGAAGAACTGGAAGAAATGAAGAACATGAGCCGCCAGGAATATGTTGCCCATCTAAGAAGGTTGGTTTCTGATTTGCATTCTAAAATCTATTTTTATTGTTTTTGCCTGCTGTGTCAAGTTAATGTATTCCTTATATTTGCAGGAAAAGTAGTGGGTTCTCCAGAGGGGCCTCAATGTACAGAGGAGTAACAAGGTGACATATTTTTTTTTATTTCCTTTTATATCGTTGAACCTCATCAATTTTTTTATTTCTTTTTAAGGACATTTTCATGTGCTGATTCCTTTTTTTATTTTTATTTATTTATTTGTCTAGACATCATCAGCATGGAAGATGGCAAGCTCGCATTGGCAGGGTTGCGGGAAACAAGGATCTTTATCTTGGAACATTTAGTAAGTAGTTTTGAATATCTTGCAAACAAGTTTTTCTTGAATCTGCTGGAAATTGTTTTCTTTGCCATTTCCTTTGTCATTTTTCATTCCTACTTCAATTTTGTTGACTCTACCATGGCATAAAGAGCTTTTAAAAGGCTAGTTTTTTGGACATCTCTGCTCTTATGTTTCCACTAGAGAATGGCAATGCTTTTATAAGGCTGATGACAGTTGCTTTAAAAACTGTACCTTTCTGATTTCAGTCACAATGAACTTTTTTAAGGCTGTTTTCCCTGGGAGCTGATAAAGATGGGAAAAGAAAAGAATTTCTTAGGCTAAAATAATTAATCAAAAGCTTAATCTTTTTGCAAGCCTAAAAATCTTTCCTTAAAGCTCGACATAACAAAAATTTGTCAATTAATGGTTGTAGCTTCATTTCAGGCACCCAAGAGGAAGCAGCTGAAGCTTATGACATTGCTGCCATAAAGTTTCGTGGTGTAAATGCTGTGACCAACTTTGACATAACTAGATATGATGTTGAAAGGATCGTGGCCAGCAACACTCTGCTTGCTGGAGAGCTAGCTCGGCGAAACAAAGAGACAGATTCAAACAATGAGGCCAATGATTACAATACACCAAAGCTAACCAATGGAGAAACAATTCAACCTGAAGTGAACAATGGGGATGAGTCAGACTGGAAGATGGTTTTGTGTGAATCTCCACAGCAACAACCTGTTGGTGCTGTTGAGCCGCTTGATCAGAAGTCCGTGAGTACCGCAAACTGTGGAAATCCGGCTTTCTCAATGGCCCTGCAAGGTCTCATAGGAGTTGGTTCAGTGAGCTCTAGCCCACCAATGGTGGATGAATCCACCAATGTAGGGACTCATTATTCTAATCCTTCTTCGTTGGTAACCAGTGTTAGCAACTCGAGAGAAGGCAGCCCAGATAAAACAGGCTCCACAATGCTCTTTGCTAAGCCTTCCTTGGCATCAAAGTTCATTAGTCCGACAAATGGTGTTAGTTGGTTTCCATCAGCAGCGGCTCAGCTGAGGCCTGCTGCTATCTCAATGGCTCACCTGCCCCTTTTTGCTGCCTGGAGCGATACCTGAATCTTTTTTCTCCTGTTACTGGAAACAAGTGAAGTTTTGAACGAGGCAGAAAAAGCAACAAAATCGGTGGAGTTAGTGGGAAAGTAAGATTTTGATTATGTCTTTATTAGGTGCAAAATAGTGGAGGGAATTTGGGATAAATGAAAGGACAAAGGTGGGGGGGACACCTGTCATCTGTCTGGTAACCAAAGTGCAAGAAACTTTTATTTTCAAGCTTTACTTTTCGGCTCATATTGTATGAAGGTTTTTACAAAATGGAGGGAAGGGGCTAAGAGAGGGAGCCTAATGATTAAATTCTATGCAATGATGTCGTCAATATTGAAGTGGCTGTTATATAATTGAATCTGCTTTTCTGCTTTTTATAGGTGTTGCTAAGTACAAAACCAGCTCAATGTTTCCCAATAATGCAAAAGGGGAGCTGGTTTTGACCACAATATCTCGTATCAGTCCCCACAGTTTGTTCCTCGAATCTGGATTGCACAATCATTACCATTCCATCTTTTTCTTTTTATCTCAGCTTTCCTCAAAGGAGAACGGACATTCCACTTCATTATTTCGTAAGGGTACACGAGATTATCAAAGGAAAAACTTTGGCTCCTTTTATTTTAAGATTTAATAGTCATAATTAGTTCGGACTTTATGCTACTATATTTCAACTTTGTGAAGGACGAAAGACATTTTAATGCTGAAAAATCCCTTTAGCTTTTTCCTAATTCCTTGACGTAAACCAAAGATAAACAATATGGGGGGGTGAAAAGCGATCCCGTGTCCTGGTGTGGACGCTAAAAAGATATGGATCGACTGTGTAAATTGTAAAATCCCTCTCCCTCGTCGTCGTGTGGACACGGCAGCAGCTGCTTTAGTTTGCATGTCCGATGAGGTGGATTGCGATCTTGACGATCCACTTGTTGGAACTCATAGGATATGACAGCGAGGAATATGTGCCGCAAAACCTGGAGGTTGAATAACTTTATTCTCATTGTTTAATTCATTAAAGTCCACACCTTCAGACAACATGCAAGAAGCTATCAACTACTACTGTTATTAACTTCATCCGATGGTGGAAAATATATCTGGTTGATCTAGTGACCTCATTTCACAAGTAATTTGATGAAAGATCATATTAAAAGTTAAGGGTTTCTTTTCCTTTTCATGATCCTAAAATTTGAATCAATCAAATACTATGAATTAAATTTGTTGCAGAAGGAATCATAATAAGAAAAGAAGGGTTGGTTTTGCCACAATGATATTGTCAATTATTTCGTGGTTTACTTTTAGGTTTGGCCAAAGATGCCCTACAGCAATTGCATCACAAAGAAAATCTCATTACTTTTTTGAAGAAAAGGGTTACAACGTCGAGAAGAAATAAATCGAGCTTTGATTAGACAAGGAAACACGAAAAAAGGCATTCATAAAAGGGGGAACACAGTAACAAACCCATAAAAAACAAAAGGTCACGGTGGAGCGATTGATGGTCAAAAAGATTGCTCATCTTTGTGGTAAAAAGTCTGCATGGTTAACAGGTACTTCTTATTTTCAACAAAAGAAATAAAAACACTGATATGAGCTTCTTCAAAATTCAAACCCCTCATTTGAGTATGGTCAACAAATATGATTACATGCTTGGTGTTGACAGCTTGGACTGGTGAAAAACAACGTGTAATTGCCTCAGGACAGCTTTGGCAAAGTAATAATGGGTTAATCTTAGTTGCGCACGAGCTGGATCATAGCAGCTTATCATGATTTCAAGATTCAATCTTCAAAGGTCTTTATTTTCTTTTTCTTTTTTGCCAAGTAATCGAACTTTAAAGTACTGTTAGCAACATCACGGGGGAAATCTTATTTGAAATATACGGAAAATGGAAACTATTATCCAAAGAGATACATAACCACTACATCAAAATCCCAATATCAAATTTTTTTAAAAAAATTTGAATGTTACTTACAAATGGTTGAAAACAAAAAGAAAAGGGAAGGTTTTCCTGTTCATTGTTCAATTTTTTTTATCCTTTCATTCATCTTCTTTTTATCCTGGAGGGGTAGAATATTCGAGAATATTCACATTTAAATTACCAGCATGTGCTTACAGTCACACTGAATTCAATTGGGTTAGAAACAAGTTTCGTCCTTCGAACTCTGGTTAATAGCCTTAATCCTTTGAGCCTGTTTCCAGCATTAAATAAAAATGACCAAAGCAGTATCGCAATGTTACCTGTTTGCGCCATGCACATAATTCTTAAACAGTCCAAACTGATCAATTAGACAAAGATGATTTTTTGTTAGACATATAGATTGTTGTGACAATGAATGGTCCCATAATTTTTAGGGCCCCAACTCCTTATTCCTCCGCCTGAATAATACGTGAACAGCTCCCTCGAAGTTGAACAATTTCAGGTTGTGCATGTATGTCCAATATTTTGACGGGAAAAGTATAGGGATGGAGGAGTCTTGTTTCGTCCGGGGAGACCTTAAAAACTAGTGGCTCTTTCTCCACCCCTTCCCTACCTGTAATTTGGACTCGTCCTTCATTTCCAGATTTTCAGATTTTCACGTTAACTAGGAAAGACATGATGAGACGAATTCATCTAAAACCGAAACAAACAAAATTGAAAGAGTTCCGACTTTTCTCACGTTTTCTTTCTCCGTAATTTTTTTGCTGAGGTGGCAGAAGGATTTTGGAAGATTCTTTAACCTGTTCTAAGTAGAACTACTGATATAATGGCAAAATTTATCAGGACATAAAAGTCTAGGACCAATTTCTGAGGTGGGTAGATGAAAGTCCAACTAACCAGGCAATGCCAGATAAAATGGCCATTGATGCACCATTTTAATGGCGGTCCCAATCTATAACTATTATCCTTTTACATTTACCCTTTTAAGTTTCTGATTTCTTTTGTTCATCCAAGTCTTGAAATCTGGGTGTTTCTAATACATTTGAGAAACAGATGTAACAATAGAATGTACGGCTGAGTAGCAATTGCCCTAGGGCCGGGTTCACCAGACATGGTTGCTGCTCAGAATCCTGGGCATTTACTGCTAATATTTGTCACCACCCTCCGCTCATTCATTGCGGTCACTTGCCTCTCGTTTTGCTGCTTGCTAGAAAATTTTTTGTCTCCTGCATCACTGTCCCCCCAGTCGCTTATGCACGCAATGCAAGTTAAGAGCACCAGACTTTTACCTCGGTACATCCACCCCTTTTCACATTGAAATGGATCGATTTCATTCAGGGTAGCTAAGGAATTAAAAATAAATTATCAACTAATTCTATACCAGAGGTGAAAAAATTGTAAAACTACCAAATATAGAAGTACAATAATGATGATAACATGAAAGGCTCGAATAAGATTGACAGTGACGATCCGTACATAATGGCAGCCAGTTTCTGAACCATGGCCCTCACGGTTTCAGATCATATATGTATATACATCAGTTCCTGACGCAAATACTTACCTCCAAAGAGAGATTCAGAGGGAGAGAACCCATAAAATTAGTTCTTCTTTTATGAAAAATAGATTAAAGGGTTGGACCTGTCAACGTCCAGGATCTAAGTATCTTTGGGTCCAACTTTGGTAGCATAGAGTATTTCTATGCCTCGTGATCCCGGCTGTTCTTTTTGTTCAGAAGGGCTAATTGCATGCATGTGGCTGATTATAGCTACGCCGTCTCTGTCACTGCACCGCCGTAACTGCCGTGAATCCTGTCTGTAAGTTTGTCTTTTCCTTTGACTCTAGTTCCATGCTACCTTGTCTACTCTTTTTCAGGAAAATACTCCGTAAAATGGTTGAAACCAGTTCTGATTTTTACATAAAGTTTTAATATAATATTTTTTTAATTTATGCTTTTGTATTATTTTGGATTTAATTTTTACACAAAACTAAATTTTAGAGATTTTATTTTCTTTTAATAAAAAAATTATAATCTCATTATTTAAGGTTCATTTTCCTTATTTTAAATTCGTCTTTTTCAATTATTCTGATCAAATTTTATTATCATTATTTAAACGAAAATCATGGTGCTCCACTATAACAAAATGTTTGAATAAACATTAGTAAAAAAAATAAAATGAAAGTAAAACAAAAAAAGAGAATTTTTTTTTTAAATAAAAGATATATGTATCATTTATTTATATAGCTAAAATTAATAAAAAATAAAATAAAAGAATTTTAACAGTCAGTAATTAATTAAATAATAGAAAGAGAAGGAAATGATTTATTATATTATTTTTTTCTATTATAACCTTTGATAGTCTTTATTTTTACTATAATATTTACATATTTATATTAATGTATTCCATATTTTCAAATTTCCTTTATTTCTTTATAAAAATAATCATCAATGAAATTTATGAAATTCATAAAAATAAGAAAAAAATTAGAGATAATAAATTTATTGGTAAATGATATTTTGTATTCTCAATCTAATTTTGAAATTCCATGTCATACATTTTTAATTTAGATAAATTAATAAAGATATAACAGTCATTTTATATTTTAAAAATTTTATTCTTTTTTTCCATCCTTTTCTCTTAATTTACCGTTTGAATTGAGGTAAAGGGAGAGAAAGGAATGGAATGGAAAGGAAACAAAAGGAAATGGAGAATCTTTTCCTTTGTTTGTATGTGACATAAAAAAATAAAGAAAAAGAAGATATGTTTAGCTCTTTTTGGTTTCCCTCAATTTTTTTATTTTTTAATTACCCCAAATTGAGGGAAAAAGAAGGGAAAGGAAAAAAATAAAAAATTTAAAATATAAAATAACTATTATATCTTTTTTAATTTTTTTAAATTAAAAATATATGATTTTGAATTTCAAAATTAGATTGAGAATACAGAATATCATTTACCAATAAATTTAATGTCTTCATTTTTTCTTTTATTTTTATGAATTTCATAAATTTCATTTATGATTATTTTTATAAAAAAATAAAGGAAATTTGAAAACATGGAATACATTAACATAAAATGTAAATGTCATAGTAAAACAAATATTATCAAAGGTTATAATAGAAAAAAATAATATAATAAATTATTTATTTTCCTTTCTATTATTTAACCAAACAATAGTTGTTAAGATTGTTTTACTTTCTTTTCTTTTATTTATTTTAGTTATCCAAATAAATAATATATATATCATTTCATTTCCTTTAAATAACCTTTCGTTCTTTTACTTTACTTTACTTTCATTTATTTTATTAATGTTTATCCAAACATAGCCTTAGGATAATTAAAAAATGAAGAAAGTTTAGGGAAACCATGGCAAGCTAAATATACCTTCATTTTCTTTATTTTTATTTATGTCATA